GGGTACAGAGATACGTCCACCTATACGATAAGGGGAAATTCAAAATGTTTGAACACCTGAAAACCCTAGCCCCCCTGACCACGAAAGACGTATTCCGTTATATCCAGCTTAAGGTCTTCGCCAACGGCCCAGAGATCAAACAGGCAGCACACACACCCATGACGTTTTTTGAACGACTGTGCAACGCCGAGACCGAACAGAAAGGACTGATCACACTTCTCTACGCACACCTCAATGCCCCAGACAGAAACACCCCGGACCCCAGATACATTAGACAGTGGGAGACTGATCTGGGTGGCGCGTTGGAGGGTGAGGACTGGGTGGATATATGGGAGGCGGCTGCAAAGTCGTCGATCTGTGTTCTCCACCAGGAACAATCATATAAAATGTTAATGAGATGGTATAACACACCAGTACAATTATACAGAATGGGGCAAACCACAACAGACACATGCTGGAAGGGATGTGGACATAAGGGCACTTTTGTGCATATGTGGTGGGAATGCCCAGTCATAGGCAGGTATTGGAAACAAGTACAGACTTTATTAACGGACGTCCTGGGTAGACAGGTGGAAATGGACCCTTGGTCCGTCTTGCTATCTTGGCCAATAGATGGCCAACCCAGACACGAACAACTCCTATTCAACAAAATCACCCTGGCGGCCAGACGGGCACTAGCCCAGGCGTGGCGGACACCCTCAGTCCCGACAAATACCGACGTCATCTTGAAAATTAAAGACACTTACTTAATGGACAAACTCACTGCCCAAATAAGAAACACGGAAACGAAGTTCCACAAAGTCTGGCAACCATGGGAGGCATACATAGGCGACTAGGACATACAGCACTTGACAAGAGCAAGAGACAGGGCCCGCCGCGTGCTCCTCCCCCCGCCCCTCGCGGGCGGTTGGGGGAACCCCGAGCGGCTCCCCCTCCTTTTTTTTTTTCTTTCTTTTTCTCCCTCTCTTTCCTCCTCCTTCCCCCCTGCCTCCCCAACCCTCACCACACAATACCACAATCACGCAGACACCAGACACCGCCTCCTAAAGGAGAGACGTAGTCTCTTCGAAACTCAACGGAGGGCGTGACCCCAGAAGCAGGTTCAAACAGCAAAGAGAGGCCCTGCTGATGGGGATGCTGCCCCAGTGACACCCCACCGACATTGTTATCAGCAGATCAAGGGGGCTCCTCTCACGCTACACCACCACACCCGAGGTAGGCCCCCTGGAGCAGGAACGGGGGCCAGGATCCTCTTCCCACACACGCTCCACACCATGTCCGTCTCCCTACACGGACACCACGCCGGCTGGGGTACAACCATTTACCTATACCACACTAAAATGCATCTTTCTGCTAGCAAACCACACTGCCACAACCAGGCTCTACTAATAGATATAAAAAGCATAGACACGATTTACTCTGCTTTAATACCCTCATTGACTTCTCTTTTTTTTTTTTTTTCTATCACATGTAAAACTGGATAAAGCACTGTACAACTTTAGTAAGGCAGCATACTGCACCACACGCTTCTGTATGCACTGAGTGCTGGGCATCTATCTATATGTATGTAAAATGTGCAGATCTATCAACTGCCACTGTTATACTGTATACGATTATACTTTTGCTCCTGCTGTCGTGGCAGGGTAAGACTGATTGTTATATGTGCACAACAAAAATAAAGAATTGAAAAAAAAAAACCCTTTAAAAACCTACCTTATTTTAGCACAGATGTCTCTCTTTGCTGGGTCAGGTTCATCCTCCTCCGTCGTCAGCCATTGGGGATAACCTAATAAGCGGTTTTACAACATGGTGGACGTCCTCATACAAAGCAAAAGTCAAACTGTGAAACTGCAGGAAACGCATCTAGTGGCTGCCTGGCAGACAACCATTAGACAGTCTTAACCCTGCAATTTATACATTTTCTCTAAAACTTCAATGTTTTACATTGTAAAGTTAATGCAACAGAGACACTACACCCAGACCAATTCAATGAGATGAAGTGGTCTGGGTGCCTCGGGTCCCTTTAACCAAGCTCCTTCTTGAATAATGTGTTTTGCTGATTGTATGGTCTCCATATGGATTTATTTCCTGGTGATGAATTGATTGACCTTTTTGGTCTAGAATGGGTCTGAATGACCCATCTTGCTTTTGAACTAGAAACAGCCTTGAGTGGGTTCCTGGAAAATATTCTCGGGGGTGAAGTTTTTATAAAAGATTCCTAACTTCTGCAAACAGAGCTGAAGCAGCTTTGGATGATTGGACTGCAGAGCATAGAAAATGTGTTGGAGGAAAGTCATTGAACTCTACATGGTAATAGTGAGGACCCAGGCATCTATGGTGTCTTCCTCCTACTGCTCTGGCATCATAACCTGCGATCTTTAGCTTTTCCAGGAAACTTTTTTTCCCTTAATCAAATGGTTGTCTGATTGTTTTGTCTTGTCAGGGGCCTGCAAATTGAATCTCTCTTAGAAGACTTGTTCTCATAGAAGACTGTTTTATTCCACTATATTTTTTCCGGTCTTCTGGCAAGGTCTTTTTTTTCTTTGCCATCTGCTTAAATAGATCATCCAGTTGAAATCCAAACAGTCTTCCCTGTTTAAAAGGTAGGTCACACAGGGAATGTTTTGATGCAATCAGCCAACCAATGTCTAGCCACAGTGGAGAGGCCCATCGGTTTGGCTGATAGTGTAAGTGCCTCTGAATTTAAATCAGAAGGACTATCTGAAGCCATTCTGATGTCCTGTAGAAGCTTTGCAGGATCTTCCTTGGATTCTCCCATATAGACTTTATCGAGTGAATTTAGCTAAATACATTGCGCGTTAGCAACGAACATTCCTGCAATAAGAGCTTTACTGTGCTGCATGTGTGGAGAATCGTTTACGTAAAGTTAATTCTGCTAATTTTGTTTATAGGTACAACCACTTTAGGAAGCTCCTCCAATTTCCTGTTCTTTAGCTGCAAAAATAAAGTTCTTTGAAATATGTTGGGTTTTTTTTGCGGATGGATATTCCCATTCCATCAGCATAAATTTAGGAGGAAATGCAAATGATTTGAGCTTTTTCTGCTTAACAGGTTCTTGATCTTTTGCCAAATCATTTTCTTCAATAAGCTGTACTTTTTCTTATAAGTCTATGCAGATACATCTGGAAAATAAAACCATGATAATAAAAATGTGAGGGTCTATCTTCCTGAAAGCAGGCAAAGAACTAAAGTGGCTAAACTAATTGGGGAGTTTAATGCCATTTTGGGGGAGCTTTATTTATTTTAATGGTTTGCCTGGCTTTTCCTCAAGTTTTGATGGAGATCCCTGTTGTGCACTGCATTTTATCTGGATGGAAAATACAATTAAAATTATATAGAAGCAAAAAATAAAAGGTTTTAAAAAGTTTGACAAACTGGTGAAGATGGCCTTGGCCAAACAAGCTACATAATTTAGCACCAGAAAATGGACTTCTGCATGAAGGAAAAAAAAAAAAAAGCAATGCAATATTTTTAGGCCAATTGAATTTTGTCTGCAGTTTAGCTCATCAAAGTATTGTTCTGGAAAGCATATGGGGAAACTGATTCTCTGGACAAAAAAAAAAAAAAAAAGCCCATTACTGTACTGCAAAATAAATTTACAAGTAAATATCTTTTGCATTACAGTGATGCAATTTCAGTGCCTATTTAATGGGCCAATACCTGTTACAATTTGGTCCACTAAGTGGAATGGGATTTTACCATTCAAATTTGGTCTGGCTCATATTAGATTCTTGTAAGATTTAGTGGTTTTCAGAACACCAGACTACAAAATAAACATTCAGCAGCCATTGTCCGTGGCTTTTTTTTTTAAGGTCTACACGACCCTGAGGACTTACATAATTTAGACAACCCACCGATTGGATAAAATTCTATAGAGGTCTGCAACTGCCCCCCCCATTTATAAAAAAAAAAAAACAAAAAAACACAGTTTACAAGTCATCGGCTTGCCGCCTCCCCACCTCCCAGCATGAAGACAACCTCCAATGTATCATAAAGTGGGTCTACTTATGGTGTCAATGGGTGGAGCTTAGGAGGTGCTGCAGTGTTATTTTTGGGCTCAAGCCATGGATTTGACTCAAGCAACACTTGTCTACACCCAAGAAACTACGTTACATGTTCATTATAGAATGTGTTTGGACTGCGCTTAAAATTGCACTTCAACTTGTTGTGTGCCTCTAAACTGTCCAATTTGGGGGCAGAAATCTCAACCACAGAGCTTTTTGAAGGTGCAAGCATGATGTACTAGCACAACGGCCTTCCCTTGTTAATTACAGTTCACTGTGAAGCATAGTAAAGCCACATGCCCTTGTGGCTCCAGCACAGAGGCATTGGAGTATTCCCCCACAGACCAAGTTTGTTCATTGGGAAGAGGGGAGTGCTTGCAAAGGTTGCAGAATGACCGCAAGAAGATGAACCCATTGTTAAAATATATACACACACACAATCTTTACTAATCAATAGGGAGTGAAGTTGTAGCCCTGTGATTATGCAATTGCAAGTAACCTTTAAAGCATGGCTAGCACAGCTGGGGGGAGTAAAATAAAAAATACAGCCATCAATCCAACTGTCTTTGGTCATGCACCCAGACTCCTGGTCCAACTTCAACAAATTAAGTTCTACAGCAAAAGTTGCCCACTTTATATCCCACTCTTAAGGGAGGAATCTACAACATGAGAATGAATATATATATATATATATATATATATATATATATTAAAAAAAAAAAATTGAGCTTTACACCAAGGCCATCTCATGTTACAGTTGGTGGTTTATTGCAGTGCAAGTTATTGGTGAGAATATCAAACACTAGTAGTAAGCATGCAGTTGTGCAACCTAAAGACCACTGACTGAGTATGCTTAGCGTGTACCTGGTGTAAAATTAAAAAAAAAATTAAAAAAAAAAGCCAGAAGACACTGCTAGGTGTCCTGTCATATATAGGATCAATATAAACACTAAGTGGAAGGTGAATCCCACTTGTGTAGGGTGTGCTCATCAAGAACCAAGAGAAGAGAGCATGAGGATGCAAATTGGTTGTATTATTTTACAGAATACAGTGCACCATGTTAAGATACATGCCAACAGACTAATGCTGGCTGCATAAATTGTACATTCCCTTAGTTAGTATTACTAACGCAGTGAAGGCTATTTTCAGAGCAATAACTCATACTACACTTTGCTAATTTAGTGAGAGGTAGGTAACAAATTCAAAAACCCACAAAACTTCTTGGTCCCATGTACTTTTACAATCCTAGATGCAATTCCAAGTCTAAAGGAAACTGTACTACAGTACCTTTTATTACATTTATTGAATTGATGGACCTGTTTAAGAGCAGCTGCCTTTAGCAACACTAGGAAACAAAGTTTTCAAAGTTTCACTTTAATATGGAGATAACAGTTTAGTGATTATTGAAATACAAAAATCAATTCTTACACTTTGGTTTATTAAACAAACAAAAAACAAGAAGTCACAAACAGGTTAGTCTGACTGACTGTTTAGACATCTTACACAACCAGTACTAGCCATTTTAAAGTTAATAAGCAGATATTAATTTGCCGCCTATTCAAAATAGTTTTATAAGTGCCGTGCCCCTTGGAAGGTCTGAAATTCTGGAAAACTCGTTTGTTCATTCTTTGCACCATAATACAGAAAAGTTCCGGATATCTGCACAAGGAGCTGTAAAATAAAAAATAAAAAAAAAATGAATGGTGAGTGACAAACTGGGCACTTAAGTTTAAACCAAACACAAAGTCAGCCATTTCTGGTTTTCTTTAACTGTTTGCATCGTTGACCTGACAGTGCCAAAGCCAATCATTTAAAGTTACCAGGTGCTACGTTTGCTCTACAGTTCACAAAAAAAAAAACTCAAAAGCAATAGCTTTTGCTGAAAGCACTGGCAATCTCTGAATAGGGAATTCGATTAGTGGTCTCTTCAGATTTTTGGTTATTTACAGCTACACCATATATATATATATATATATATGACTGGTCCTACAATGGGTCAAATTACTCCAGTCAGCAGAGGCAAGAAAACGACTACCAGCCTACAGGCATGGTGAGTGGTTTTGGTTTGATAATTACTGTTGAATTATTTTATAGGCAGCACAATATTTGTGTCAGCTTTCATCATGTGCAACATCTAGGATTTGAATCACAATTATTAAAAAAGTCTGTGCTAAGTGATTGTTTGGTGATTAACATTTAGCATAGACTGTTACAATTGAGGAGCCCAAGTTTCATAAAGCCCATAAATGTTCCAAAGGACTTCCTCGACAAGACCAAATAGTACAGTGCACTTGTTTAGCTGGCTTTTCAGATAAATAAATTGTCATCATTTGAAATTCAGATGGGTAAACGGCAATTTTAAAAATCATCATTAAGCCAGATTATGAACGAACAAGTCTTAAATAACTACAGTTCCATGTGGCATACTAAAAGGATTAGCAGTCTCAAAAGTCTATCATGAACCACAGCTATATTAATTCAGGATGGTGCTCAACATGGATATGATATATAGCATTTGAAGAGTAAAGCTTTATTTTTATTAAGTCAACTGCCAGAATTACTGTACCTCAAGCCTTGGGAGGATGACTACACCTAGTCCACACTGCACAATGTACCTAGAGAGAATATACATACATTAGATATTGTATGATTAACTACAATTCATGTAATCAAATCTGTTCAGGCTTTTCAGAATAGAAAAGTTTCACCACAGACATTCTGTTGGGTAAACGGCAAAAAGTTACTCATCATTGAGCCAGAACATTACTGATGTTAAAACATTCGATACAATTCAAAGTCTGATTGAGTCTTAAAGTACGAATCTCAAGGCATACTGTATCTCCATTACAAAATTAAAACCCAATTATATCAAAATGTAGCTCTACTGGTATAGACAAAACAAGAGTAGAGGACAAGTCTAATACTCACAACATTTGTTGACGTTTACATTACACCGCATTTCTGATTTCCTCTGTGTAGCTTTGGTCAGATTAAAGGTCAAAGTTTAAATCCTTATTCTAAAATAAAGATAGAAAAAGCAAAATTAACAGAAACCCTCAAACAATATCTGGACAACAGTTAAACTGTATGCCAACATTTCAGATTGAGATGGTTTCACCACAAACACTCTGTTAGGTAAACGGCAATTTTTTTAATCATCATAATACTGGCAACAAGAATACAGGTCTTAGAAATATTAAAACTAAAGTTCTACCTTACATTAGTAATAACATGCCATTTAATTGTTGTCCAGTATATAGCGGTATTTCTAGCCACCACTATATAGAGCCCCTGGACCACCCATACCTTCAATATATGATGTATCAAACAAGTTATTTGCATGCCTACCTCAGTTAGGAAGGATCAACTTGAGAAACCACAACACCTAAGGAAAAAAAAAAAAAATAACATCAGTTATGAAAGTCATTCCAAGTTACCATAAAACAATATGGTGAGAAATGTTATATCAGTTCCATAATGGTCATCACCTAAATCAGATGGGTAAACGGCATTATGAGAATCATCATTGTGTTATTTTACAGTTTGCAAGGCAAGATTGAGCAACATCCAACCTAAAAATTCATCCATGCATTTATTTCCTAGGTACTGACCTGAACTGGGATATTTGGTAACAATCTGTATTTTCATCAGCCATTAGATATTTGTAATGCATTTGTTCTGGAGGCCTGCATTGCACATCTTGCGCAAATCTGAGGTTCTACAAAGGAAGAATAGAGAAATATGATGTAGCAAATTTTCAGCTGGTACAAACTATTTAAAAAAAAAAAAACTTCTAAAAAAAAAAAAAAACCACCTCTATAGCTTACCACAAGACTTAAAGGAGTGTGCATAATTCGGTTTGTTTCGGCGTGTCAGCATCTTCATTTATCCTATGGGGAGGAGAAATAAAAAAAAAAAAAAAAATCATATATACAATAAGCTTCTCAAAAATGGTTCAAGCACTGAATGGAGGGATAACTGAGGACTACAGTGCACATTCACCAAATACATATACTGTTTGCAGGATATCAAAAAATAAATGGCCATCTCATTCAGTCACCATGGTGAATATAGGAATGACCAACTACTTAATGATGCACTTTAAATTTTTGACAAAACATTTCTACACCTGTTCTTAGGGAATCAATAGTCTTACAAGAGACAATAGTCCCCAATTAGTAAGAGTCCATCTCTATCAGTTCAATAATTACTGTAAGTGTGGAACAAGATCAAAGAAAAAAAAAAGTCAGAGCACAAGGGACAAGGACATGATTCAGGATACTGAACCACAAGATCAATGCAAGGTCAGCGTCCTCAAGAGAATACCGTCCACAGTGCAGAATGTTCTAACAAGTCCAGATGGCCATCATTAAAACTAGCTACACTATGAAATGGGATAATAAGGGTCACCCACAAAGCTGATCACTAGGTCAGAAAGCAAAAAATACATTTATCATCCATTTTAGACCTTAACTGTCAGTGATGTATTACTCTATTATAATTCATTATGAAACGTGCCAAAGAAAATATTAGTTTGAGATTTTAGCAATTAGCGTTTCAGAGGATTTGATTTCTAAGACAAGGTAAAAAGGTTAAATGATCAATACAACTGAGCGAAGACAGCCACTTAGGGAATATAGTAGATCATCCCTGTGCAAAACTAGAGATTCTGTAATCTAGCATTTATTTTTAAATTCGCCATTGGCAACATGCGCTCAAGTTTCAAGCAAGTTAGAATGCAGTCAGCATGAGTGTTTTAAAGCTTTTTTGTTAATTACCTTTAATAAAGTATAATTTATCAATTTTTTATCAAATAACGAGCACCACAACACACATCGTTAGTGCATCAGATGACTAAGCTGTACCTCATGCTGTAATGATGCAGAGTTCACCAGCCTACTTCACACTATTGTTACAATTATCTTTTTGCTTGGGGCCCAAACCCCTATTCTCACAAGGCTGAGAATAATGGGAGTTACACAGCACCATTAAGGTATGTACCCCCTGCACCCACTATCACTCCATGTCAAAACCAAAAATTAAAACGAACAGAGGGGACACTATACATAACACCTTTCTTGAAAAAAACAGAAACTATAGGGTTATGCATAAAAAGTCACATTTGCAATTTGTATGCACGTGTTTTTATGCCACCCTTTGTAAAATCACTGGCCTTTTACCCACCTTTTCTGTATGGGTGCCAAAATCTGTACAACAATAGTGATCATGCTAGTATGCCCCTGACTGAGACCACCAGTTCTGTGTCATAATAAATATTGCACATTAGAGAGACTCAATGATAGCGTGCACCAGCTTCGAAAAACCAAAATAAAAGATTCAGTGCAGGTTTGTATTTAATTTGAACTGCTGTCCAGGGATTGTGAAGGCGAATGGGGCAGGACAAAGAAAAACACAACTGAGGTAGCATGGCAGGTCTGCTCTATGGAGGCTTCTAAAACAAATATAGGGCAAACTGTTTAATAAGGGTTAGATAATGGAAGGGGAGCAGCAGTAAACCTCATGGAAGCTGTAGTTTTAGAACACACATTTAAAGAGTCACCACGTGTGACTACAATTAGTTATGTCGAACATTCTTAGAAAAAACACAAATGGAATTCACTCAACAAATGGATGGAATGAGGGAGAGAAAGTCTGACATTCATAGTACACGTGGAGTCAGAACCCCTGAGTGGTCTCCCACTATAACACACACACAGCTCCCTGGCTCTCTGTATAACACACACAGCCCCCCCGGCTCCCTGTATAACACACACAGCCCTCATCTAACCCTGTATAAAGACAGTGTCCTGCATATTAGGAGATAGAGCGAGCCAGGTCAGTAAATCAGTGCCCAGCACACAACCTACCTCCAACCAGCCACTCAGCCAAAGAGGAGGAGGTCACCGCCCTCCCAGCGCTTACATAGACTAGGATCATAGAGCTCCACAGAGAGCCAGAGCGTCCGCCACGTCACCGTTTCCGCCATGTTTGAGGCGGGCAGAAGAAGTGTGAGCTGTTAACTTCTGGACAAACTGCAATTAACACTCTGACATGTTTTCAGGGAGCAATTAGGGACCAGCTCAAAGTGTCTTCAAACAAAGCACAATATCAATTAAATTATATTACAACATTTATAATACTAAATCTGTAAAAAAAAAAAAAAAAAAAATATATGTATATATCCATTATCCAACATTTCCTTGCACTGCAGACTGGAGATTATATAAATAGTGATGTCCCGAACGGTTCGCCGACCGGTTCGCCGCGGACTCATCATTGAGTAAACTTTGACCCTGTACCTCACAGTCAGCAGACACATTCCAGCCAATCAGCAGCAGACCCTCCCTCCCAGACCCTCCCACCTCCTGGACAGCATCCATTTTACATTCATTGTGAAGCTGCATTCTTAGTGTGCTGTCCAGGAGGTGGGAGGGTCTGGGAGGGAGGGTCTGCTGCTGATTGGCTGGAATGTGTCTGCTGACTGTGAGGTACAGGGTCAAAGTTTACTCAATGATGAGTCCGTGGCAAACAGTTCGTGGTGAATCGTTCGCGAACCGTTCGGGACATCACTATATATAAATATATATACTTAATTTTGCCGGGTGCTGGACCAAGGTCATCAAGAATGCAGAGTTCAAATGGATAGTCCGCACTCACGATTTCAATAAAATATAACTTTTATTTGTTACATTTAAAAAAGGTGCCAATAAGTCATCGACGTTTCACCTTTTTTAAATGTAACAAATAAAAGTTATATTTTATTGAAATCGTGAGTACGGACCATCCATTTGAACTCTATATATATCCATAGGCGTGGCTGCACTCCGGTCTTTATGAAATAAAATACTTTATTTGAAGAAAAAATTAAAAGATCGATGTTTCATCAGAATCCAAACAAGCAATAAATGCAATATACAGCCTACAGAAATATATATATGTGTAGAGTGACATATATACATACATACATACACATATATAGCTGAATTCACTTAATCTCTTCATGACAAAGGTATATCTCCCAGCATTTCAAATTGGCAAAGAGGGACACTTTAATTTTAAGGGTGTTGGTGGAGGTGTGAACAGGGGCGTACTGTTCTGAGAAATTTTATGTGACTTACTTGTGGCGAACATAACCTCGCCTCAGGACTATGGGCCCTGCAAGATACACTGTAAAATACACTTTAAAAGGCTCTGTTTGTGTGATTTGGGATTATCTTGTTCGGAAACCGAACAACCGCACGAACCAGAGACCACCCGTGTGCTTGTTAAGCCCAACTGACACCTTGTAATGAGTTCCACCGCAGTGTTCTAATTGTTCGTCTGGGTGGCCGCAATTCGGCTGAACGACCACAAGGTGGCGGCCATGTTGTTTGCATGAATGCATGCAGCGATGTTTGGTCGTCGAGTTCATGGAGCTGACATCGGACACTGAAACTCCCAAACACCAGTTGACTTCCATAATCGCCTGCGTTCGGTTCTATACAACTTAGAAGGGCACTTTTCGGTGGGATCGTTTCCCCTGAACGAGGTGAACAAGCTACACATGTTAAATATGGATTCCATTCGGTATTGTATGTATTTTTATACTCCCGAAAGTGACCGACCATTAGCATTAATTTCATGGAACTGTTTTGGGCATAGGACCATGTGTGCGGTAGGTCAAATAATTGACTTCCATATAAATCCCAAACCCCTGAACCTGATCTGGGTGATTTTTGGATATGTTGGTCATCCAGATCGGCGCTATCCAAGAATATAACTTTTGTGGGGTTTCCATGGATTTTGGGGGTACTTTTGGGATGTTTATACATTGTATGTTTTTTGTACCGGAGAGATAATTTTATTATTTGTTTGCTTCTGAGATAATTACCTCTCAGGCACAAAGGATCGTGGGAGGGATTTCCCTGTATTCTTGTATTGGAAACCCCTTGCAGGGGCTTTTGCATAAAAGGCAGTGTGTGGCCTCCAATAAACCAGATTACTTCCCAGCATTAAGCCTTGGCTCATGTGTGGGAGGGGAGGCGATACTGGCGACAATTACAGCGATACTTGCAATACTCTCTGGATTAGGAGAGGTCTACCCACTGGGAGCTGGATCCAGGTGTTGAGAAGGTGTTGAGAAGGCGAGACCCTAGCCAAGCTGCGGCGGCTAAGGAGCTATAGTGTTTATGGTGTCCGATGCTGTGCTTATAGTACTCAGCGACTACTAGGAAGTATGATTGGCGTAGGTTTCCAGTCGGGGTGCCAGGCTGTCCGCCACATTACTAATAACAAAGATCGATAGAAACAACAACCTGTGGATATCACACATGGGGTTTGAATGTTGCATTCTTTAATGATACATAATATAATAAAAACACAAAACAACTTCTTCCTTTAATATGTTTATTTTGATAAGAGTGAAACATTTGGAGAATGGCCGTGAACATGTCACGGAGTATTAACCCTAACATGCAGAGTTTAGGATAGCAAGGAACAGACAAATGAAATATTAACGTCTTACCGGGCCTTAGAGTGGGCGGACTTAACGCTAGACAGAGAAAATAGCAAGAAGAACAAGTGGTGTACCTGTATGTAATCAATGTAAAATAAAGAACAAAATAGGTACGATAATGAGTATATCAGTCTCAGACAAATATGCTGAGAAGATATACTATTAAGCAAAGTATACCACTGATATATAGTAAAAAAATATTGGGACAAAGTACAAAAGATAATGACACACAACTGGCCAATACTTCAACACGACACAGATCTGGTTGAAAGCATTGGCAATTTTCCTCAAATTACGGCACGCAGGGCTAAAAACTTGAGAGACATCTTGGTTCACAGTCACACTGAGCCCACTAAACCATTACAATCCACCTGGTTAACTCAGACTACGGGTATTTATCGCTGTGGACATTGTAAGGCATGCCAATTCATTAAACCCACTAAAACGGTAACAAGTTCCATAACAAAAAAAGAATACA